TAAAACGTTAAGGCTTTATCAGAATATTGCAGTGGAAAATCTAAACTTAAATCTTTAAATAATATAGTTTAGAAAACCAATAAGTGAAAACTTACAAACTGGAACCATAAAGGCCCTTATTTAAACCAAACCAATATTCAAAACCCAAACTATAAACGAAATAATAAACATAAATAAATTCAACACAAATAACGAATACTCTCAATCACACTAACCCGTTGACAATGCGTTGCCAAATCCCCGAACTTCACAGCATCAAGCTAACCTGTGCAATATTGTTTCCTAATAATACAAGTGTAACAATTGGATCATCGCAGGGTCATTGAAAGGCGAAAGCCATGATCAAAAGAAAAGACACACAAAAGTACGCAATCAGCAAAGCTGAGTACATACAAGCTACAACGCACCAAACGTAGCATCCTCAACTAATTGAAGTAAATAACATTCAATATGAATTCATTAGCCAAGACTCCTCACATAAATAATTCATTCAACTCAACATACTTACTAACAAATTCCAATCACTTAACTCTTTATGTTTAATTTACTTAATTTAATTCAGAGTAAGAAATAGACAAGGTTGTCCAACCCACCAAATCATTTTGGTCTCAAATGACCATTTAAAATAAAAATATAGCGCGATGCAAGAATAGGCGTGACTCCATTCTCACAAAGTTAGTTTAGGATCTCATCTAAGTCTCATTATAAAATAAAAATGTAAATACCAAAAGAAAAGAGGACATGTTGATCAAACAAGCCTCGGAAAGCCTTAAACCACCGTGTACCCATAATTGTCAATACTCTAGAAGCGCACACTTTCCAGAGTTTTTATTGACCATCCATGTTTCACTTTACGTAATTACAAGTTTAATTAATATCTGACTCATTTAAGTAATCATACACAACCATACATAGAAATTCACTTTTAATCTTACTTAGGACAATGATGATCACATCACAAATTGACCTTTAATTCCATTAATATTCCAAAATATCCAAAATTGTAGAATATAGTCAACCCACCTAGCCATTTCGGCTTAATCCACCTTTACTCAAAATACTAACAAGTCATGCTTGAGTAATAAATAAAATAATAATAACCTCATGGAATAATTAATAAATTCATTCCACTTAAACCATTCAATTCCAATCCTTCAATAATCAAAATGTGGTTAACAAACCAATCCAATAAAAATATGCTTGTATCAACATTCCATGCAAACAATTAATCCAATTCAATATGCTTGCATAATTCCATACAAATATAATCAATTCACCAAAACATGTGTCATAAACATAACATGAATTAATTCAATGTTTAAGCAAACAATTTCCATCCAAGAGTTCTCTAAACATGAAACTAAGTTCTTTCCTTTTGGTACCTAAACATGATATACTTACAACGAAGTAGACATGTACGTACCTCGTGTAAAAAATCCTTTGTGGCACTTTTAATCACTTAAAAGTATCCTAGGGAATAATCACCTCCTAGAAAACAACCAACATTCATATATTAATTCGCATACTAATTTCCAGAAATTTTGATTAAAAACTCCTTAAAACTCTCTTAAAAACATGTTTTTATTCTTAATTAATGATTAGAAATAAAATAGGAATAAAAGCCCCAATTTGATTGCTCTTTAGAACCCTAAAATCCCAATTTCAACAAATTAAAACCCTAGGTTTTAAAATCACAAAATCTGAAAATTTATAACATGAATAAAATTTGAAAATATGACTTTAAACAACCAAAATATAATTTTTCATACTAATAAAACTAATTTCAAACAATTAAATCAAAAACCAAAATCAATACATTAAAGTTTTACAAACTAAACAAAACAAAGGAGGAATAAGGGGAGGAGGCCACGTGGGCCAGCTAGGCCGACTAGGTGGTCATCGGCCACCAGGTGGCGGCGGGGCAGGTGGGTATGCGCCGGAGGTGGCTGGGCGACAGTGAGATTTGCTTACGTAGGAAGGAAAAAAGAACAAGAAAGAAAAAGATTAAAAAAAAAAAGGAAAGAAAAAAAAAAGAAAAATAAAGGAAAAAAAAGAGAAGAAATTAACTAACCTTTTGTGTGGGGAAAAAAAATTTGGGGATTTATAGGGTACTTATAGGAGGAGAAATCGTGGAGTAAGTAGAATTAGATTAGGCCTCATGAAAATAATGGCCAATTAAATAATAAAAATGAATTGGACTTTTATTTTGATGGTCGTGAATTGTAGCATGTAAGTTCATAAAAATATATCTTTTGTAATAAAATAGTTTGTCAACCTAAAATAACAATTTGAAGCCTTTTAAAATCAATTCCAGAAAAATACAAAGAAATATTATAAATAAAATAAAATAAAATTTATAAATTATTTAAAAATACGGGAGATTATAAATAAAATCTACGTTGAGACAATTCAAACAAGATCCTACTTACTATGTTTTATCATAGCTATAAATCACAAAAGCTAGTCAAAGTGTAGTTTGTGAATAGTGTAAAAGTCAAATGGTGTCAACTAAAAACAACGGAGGAAATATATATTATTTAATATTGAGCTTGTATGAATTGGGCTTAATTGGCTGATGAATCATATTTAAATAGGGTTCTTAGACACGTTTATGCTAGTTTTATATCTTGTTTTTAGTCTTTTTGGTTGTTTTTAGGGTTGTGATTGTATAAATTATCATATATTGCTTTATTACGCTCCGTTCGTGTTTTTCTTAATATATTTGAGTTGACTTCATAATCATTTGGATGCTTTCGAAGTTTTTAGAGTTGATTCGAGTGATATTTGGATGGAAAGTCGATGGATCGAGTTCGTTGATTGAAGATTTTATATTTATGGATGTTACTTTGAGGATTTTATGCACGGATAATGTAATTAGCATCCATGAGAGTCTTTGTGCATCTTTCTGGAATGAATTAGAGTTAGAAACGAAGCAAAACTTTACTCTACGAAGCATTAAAACTGACCCTTGTGCACTGTTTCAGCAATAACTCAAGTTCTACGATTTGGGTTGAGATGATTTAAGTTGGGTTGAAACTAGACTTGAAGAACAATGATTGGTCGCATGCCCTATACAGTTTCTAGATCTCGAGATATGGCCCTTTAAAGTTGACCTTTCGAAGCTACTAGCCTAATGCCTAACCATTGGGCGCGGTTTCTGCTTAAAGCACTAGAAATCCATCGGGCAATGGTCGAGCATCATTATTCATCGCTACCTTCAAACCTCGACCAACACCCACCCATCGCCCGATGAGTTGGGTGTGCGTATCAATGAAAACTTTTTCAATCAGCCAATCATTAGGCGACCTTTGTTATTTTTACTGTATTTTCTTATTTTGTTTATTTATTTATTTATTATTTAGGATTAGATAATCATATGAATACGTCAAAGGATTTTAAACACTTATTTATTTTATTCAATCTTCGAGGTATTTTATTCCATCGATCTTTCGTCTTTTATTTCCTTCATTGTGAATTATAGTTTATTTATCTCTTTTGTTTTGTTTATTTTCATTATGAATGAATAGTAATTTTTAGGGCTAAGTGAAGCCCTGTTTATTCCTTGATTATTTATGCTTCAAGATTTATAAATTTATGAATTAGGGTTAAGTGATTTCAATTTGTTTGTGCGTTATTGTTTAATTCATATAATTAGTGGATAAATTATGATAACTTTTGTAAAATATGTAATTGAAAAACAAATGGATAAAGCAAAGAATGAGTGTAAATAATAAACCTAATAGTCCCCTTCCATCCTGCCCTATGGGCTACAGTAAACTCAATCTTGATGGTTCTGCCCTTCATAATTCAATTCAGCCTTTGATGGTGTTGTTATAAGGGACCATTTAGGAAATCATATTGTTATTCGTAGTTATAATTTAGGTTGTTGTCCAACTTTTCTTGCTGAAACCATTGCCCTTTGTAATGGCCTCCTACTAGCGAGGGAGTATAATATCACCCATATTTTTATTGAATGTAATAATCTAGCTGTTATTAATATTTTGTAGAGTCACTATAACTACTCGTGGAAGCTCCAACTGCTCATGGATGATATCAAGAACAATTTGGATTTTTTTCAGCCTTCAAGTTCTAGCATATCTACCATGAAGGAAATCAGGCAGCATATTATGTTGCCTCTCTTGGGCATTCCACTCTGATGCACTAAGATATAGATCTATTTATGGATAACAAATTTTCTTATTTTCTTTTTACTTTTAGATAGATTAGGATACGGTATTGCGAGAAGACGTTCTTAATCTACTTTATGTATCTTATTTCAAAAACGAAAAAAAAAATCTGATAGGGTGGCATACGTGGGGTAATGAGGGAAAGGTTTTGCTACGAGTAACAATTAGGGGTGTCCATTATTCGGATTAAAACCGAATACCAACCCAATCCAAACCGAATTATTAATTCGGATTGGATCCGAACTTTAAATCGGATCAGATCGAATTGCGTTTTTTTTTTTTTTGAAAATTCGGATTTTCGAATCGGATTGGATTGACCTTGTTGGGATGCAAAAAACCGAAATATGAAACCATTATTTTATAAATAAGTATTGTTAATATTAATCATGTTAAACTATGTTTATAATTATATTAAAATTAATCATGTAAACCTATATTTTCAATACTTGTATTAATCATGTACAATTATACTTTCAAGAATTGAATTTTTTATTATTGCATTTTTTATTTTTATAATTGCATTAGGCCCAAAAAATTTGCAACATATTTTCATTTGGATTTTTGGATCGGATCCAAATAACCGAATTTTAATTCGGATTGGATCGGATTGGATTTGGTGAGGAATTCAGATAGGATTGGATTTGATTATTGGAAATCGAAATTTATTTCTCGGATTGGATTTGGGCCAAATCCAAACCTAAAACCGAATAAATACCCCTAATAACAATGAAAAAATTTTAGAATAGATGAAAATGTCAAACATTAAAATTTCAAAAATGGATGAAGTTTGTTTTATTTTATTTTTTTTTTTTTTTAATTGTATTTTTTTTTGGGGTTGGAAGAAAATACTTTGTACGACTTTTTTTTTTTTTGGAAAGAAAGTACATGTATGACTTAATTTAGAACAAAGGGGCCTGGACCTACTTTGCTCCCACTATTGCCCGTGGCCGTGGTCAACATGCGTATCACACCTTTTTCTTTTGGGGGTTACTAATTCACGTCCGGTATTTACGGGGTAACGCTTGTATTTTAAATTAAACATCAAAACTCTTTTTTTTACTTTTACCTTTCTCTATCCTTACCCTTTTCACCCACCTTTCTCTTTCACCCAAATTCAACCACCGAAACCAGTTAACCAACCACCACCGCCACCGATTACCCCCAAATTCCACCACTAAGATTATTTTTTTTGTTTTTAATCTTGGCGTCAACGCTACAAGGGAGGCGCAGATTTCTAGAAATCGCAAGCAGTCGGCACCGACGAGCAGGTGAGTCGATATTTTTTTTTATTTTCCGGCGATTTTGAGGAACGCCTAGAGATCTGGAATCTCTAGGCTACGTACGCCCGGAAATTTCAGATCTCCGGGGGTTCATCCGAAAATCCTATGCGAACCACGAATGAACGCCCGGAAATTTCGGGTCTACGGGGGTTCATTCGAAAATTCCAGGCGTTTATAACATTCATATCATAGATTTTTGTGTGTTTTTTCCTGAATTATTATTGTAGCATTGATGTGCTTTTTTTTGTTTTTTTCCTGAATTATTATTGTAATGTTTATAATGTATTTCTATGATATACTCTGAAAATTTAACTGAAACAAAAATTTGCATATGCTACTAATATTTTGCAAAATTAGCTGTGTATGGTTGGTTGATCGTTTGTGCTGATGTAGAGGTGTGTATTTAGTTGTAATGTTTATTTTTTTGCTTGTTTTTGCTGTGATGTTCTGCTGTATGGGTAATTTGATTTCAAAATTGTGAATTCAGTATTAATCCTCCTTTGTTATATGAGTTAAGGAGAATATTGAAGATGGTTGTGGTGGTGGAGATTCAAGAGCAAGAGAATGGGGTTTATATTAGGTTGGTTATGTTCACTTGCCAAATAGGCGAATACAGGCAAAAGTTTAACTCCCTTGGACTTCCCCTGCTTTAATCAAATATACAAGTTAATTTTTTTTACTTGTAACCTTTCTTATTTTTGTAATTTCTCTCCACTTAAATGGTTAAACCAAACACTCTTGTAGAGTTGTAGGGCTGTAGTGGAGGAACATTTGAAAAATTCTTTACCAAATAATGTAAAATAAAAAGAAATCTGAAAACAAGACTACAGTAGACAAGGGAATCACAAGTGTGTATGTCAACGGAACCTAACTAAGACAAATTACATGTATACGAATCCAGGAGAAGAAATCCCACAGCCCATTGGTGAAAAAGCAAACAAATGCAAGTGATCTGAGGTTTAAACATGTGATATGATGCATACTAAATTACTTAGTTATACAGCAACTAAATCAACCTGGTAGTTTTTTATGTTGCCTTACACCTCTAATGTAAGATGAGAATCATGGCTGGAGCCATGGCCCTGACTTTGCCATCCTTGATTCCATTAGGCGATGACGATGATGACGAGGAGGAGCCTGATGATATTGTTCATACGTATAGGGGTGCCGGTGGGAGATTTGTTGGTACTCAAGAGACTGGTCGTAGTCGGACTCCGGTACAGGACAGCTGGTTAGTGACTACGCCGATGGCCGGCGGTCTAGAGGATGGAAGCGTCATTCCTAGCTATGGTGGTCATGTTGCAGCTGCGATTTGGGGTGGTGTGGAGCGAGGTGTTTTGAGATGTATGAGTAGGAGAAAGATGTGCACTGCATTGGATCAGTTGCGACAGTCGTTATTACCAGAGACATTAGCCCCGATAGATCAGAGCGGGTTATCACATCTTCCTGGCATTATGTATCAGCACCTTGACTGGCCTTTGATTTTAGCGTTCGTGGAGAGATGGCAGCCAGATACTAACAGTTTTCATTTGTCGTTGGGTGAGATGACGATCATGTCACATGACGTGTATCATATCCTTGGGATCTCTGTAGATGGTACTATGGTTTCTACTGTTATGGACCCCCTACAATTACGACAATATTGCTCATTCATGATGGATTTTCCTATTAAGGAGTTACGTAAACCCACTTACGCGCCTAGTGGCGCGCTTTCTTCGAGGGTCCTCGAGACGACCTTCAATGTTGAGTGAGAGGCCCCTTGAGATTTCTGTGGTGGCATTTATGTGGATTTTACTGGGTTCATCACTCTTTGTGGACAAGAGTGGTAACAGACTTCATCCCTCCCTCATCCATGAGCTTCAGCCTGTCGATGGTACATTTGTCACTAGTTCTTACTCATGGGGCTCTGCCACTTTAGCTTTTTTGTATAGTTAGTTGGGGCAAGCCTCGCGGGCAGATTGTGATTCCATCTCTGGTGTTCTCACGCTTCTTCAAGCGTGGATTTATGAGTATTTTCCATGCTTTCGCCCTCAGCAGGGCACTTTGACCAGGGACCCTGGACGTGCGCGTGCATTGCTGTGGGATGTTGGTTTGCCACCGAAGACCTGAGATCGGCTTTTTGCTTTTCGTGCTCGACTTGACGTGTTGACTGACATTGAGGTAAATATGAAATTCATTAATTAATTGTGTTTCGTATCGCCTTACTCTTATGTGACTAATATATTGTTTGATTATGCAGGTTAACTAGCTGCCTTACGGACCTGACCCAGCTAATGTTGTTCCTAGGACTTTGTTCTCGGGATTTATACGGTACCGCAACATCATCGAGCCGTACATGCCCGATCGAGTAGTCAGACAGCTTGGGTTCGTACAGGGTATACCTAGGTACTCCAGGTACTCCATTAGGCATTAGGCCTGAGAAGGCCAAGAGACCGAAAAAGGTCAAGATGTATAGTTCCCGGCTGAGACGTTCGTACACATGTGGGAGAGCTTTATTCCATTCGCTGCGTATTGTCTACCAGTGGCTCGCTACACTAGACTCAGTCGCGGCAGTCCTACATACACAGACGATTACATTCCATGGTTGGTGAGATACTCTCACCCTCGTGTATCACCCCCTGACCTCACGTCAGCGGACTCCCCAAGAGGACCAACACTGATTATGTAAGTATATTTTCCTTTAGTTTTGTATTTATTATCTGGAAATTTTATTGATTTTTTAACATTCTATAATGTTTGCAGTGGGTTGGTCGCTTCGTTGAGTTCACACAGCGTGCACTTGCTGAGTCGCATGGGCCCATGTCCCGTGAAACTAAGGCCGTGGCTGCACAGGCCCTTCGTGATTGGGATGCTATGCGAGGGTTATGATTTGTGTTTAGCTAGACACCTTTATTCTTAGTTGAATGCTTTAATTGTTGGTTGGACACTTTTATTATTTTGTTTTGGTTATTGTAATAGGACACTTTTATTATTCGTATTAAATTATTGCTATTGTTGAAATAATAGATGTGAACTACCCTCCCTCAAAAATGTTATGGCATGTTGTTGCTGCTGTTGTTGTTGCTGGGGCTGTGATAATATGTGTAGTTGTAGCTTGGTGTGCAGGCTGGTTTTCTCTAGTTCAGGCTGCTGTTTGGTGCGGGGTCAGGCTGGGTTGCTGTCTGTCTTGCTGAGGGTTGTTGGTTGGTGTTACTGAAAGGCATCACCAATTCTCATAATGTTGAATTTCCTGCTAAGTTACTGAAAGGCGTTCTAGAGGTTAGCACCTACCTTTGATTCCCTTTTGTAAATTATCACCCTGAGAGTTACTCACGTAAGTAGTATGATCTGGTAGTGCATGTATACTAATTTTTTTTACTAAGGATTGAGTGCTTGGGTTTGGTGCCACACTGTGAATTTGCTAATGATCATTAATCTATTGTGTTGCCATTCGATGAAGAAACAATTGATTTATTTTTGCATGAGAAAATGATAGAGCTTGTACTTAGATTAATGGTTTGTTGATTTGTTATACTTACTTTTCGTAGATTCTGATCCAGACTTGTTCATCATATATAAAAATAAACTTGTCTCATTATGCCACAGGCCCACATATATGTATTTTCTAATATACAGAGATGAGCTCTCAAGTTAGTTCCGCTTATATAATGATTTATGCTGCTGTGGTTGTTATTAAATCTTTGCAGTTTCTGCCATCGGTGATTACTGCTGCACTGAAAGAAACAACTCAGAATTCTGAGGAAACACTATCCAGTGCCTCTTTAGAACCAGGCAGCCATGGCAACATGTTGCACATTTCACTTGTTGGGGATGTTCTGTTTCTGCCCAGCCTGCCAGCTAAGTGCAGGTACTGCCACCGTCGTTCTGATGCTGGCTTTTGCTGTTGGCTGCTGCTGCTGTGGCTTGTTGGTTCTTTTGCTCCCTGATCTGCTGCTGGTCTTTGTTGCTGGTGCATGCTGTTTTTGGCGAGTGATAATTGTAGTAGTTGTTTTTGTTTTTTGGATTGTTGCTACATATTTACTTTGCTCCTTCCTTTTGGTAGCTTGTTTTTGTCCTGTTCCTTTCGTTCTGGGTAATTATTGCAATTGTTACTTGTGTTTTTTTATGGCATTTTTTCAAATAATAATAATAATAAAAATAATAATAATAATAGTAATAGTAATAATAATAATAATAATAATAATAATAATAATAATAATAATAATAATAATGGGAAAAATAAAAAACAAAGTTCAGACATCATTATTTAAGTTTTGAACGACACATTACATCTATCATGACGCGATTAATCTTTCCCACAAACTAATTCTACGCTGGTATCGTTGCTCCCATCCAATAACGCTAGGTTCACGAGCTCGGTACCAAACATCTACGATCCGGGGAATCGGATAGTCTTGATCAAGCTGTAATAGAATAAAATGCGACCCACCCACAGTACCTATAACAAACTCTCGAGCTGGTGCAGTAGCATTGTCGGGGGCCCGCAACGGTAACCAGTGATGCAAGGATAGTAGCTCGTCAGTGTCAATCCAATGCCATAACAAATCACAGTTACATTGTACAAGGTAGCAATTACATACAAATCCTGAAAGGCTACCATCCAATGTCTTTCCCCACATGGGCCACCGCTCCAACGAATATGTTGTATCTCAAAATCCAAACCACCTGGCTCATAATAAATCCTCCTGTATAAGTGTGGGTAACCGATGATCTCATTAACCATGATTTGTCGAGCTAATCTCCATTGCTCTTGATCACCCATGAAGGAGGCAACATGACGAAAGCCGCAATTACCATCACCAATGACATCATTCCATCCGGTTGTGTAAGGCAATATAGGTCCGGGGAGCAAGTGAGCGTACCTACATTGTTCGATGTGGAATCCATTTCCTCCTAAAAATACACATTCGTAAATGGTAGAAAATAAATCATCAATTAATAAATATGTATGTTATAAAAAATAATTATTACAAAAAAATAATTCATACCGGATTCAGTTTGACGGTTTTGCCTTGAATTATGTTGTCTTGACCTTCTCCCCCCACGACCGCTTGTGTTACGCTCAACATTCTCGAAATGGCTACGATCACGCCTAGTAGAACGATCCCGTGGTCGACATCGTGTTGAGTGATTCACTTCCGGCTCCTCAAGATCTGAATGATTCGGATGCAGCTCATCTTCAATGATGCGAGAAACATTCCGAATCGTAACAGGGTCACTAGCCAAAACCTCATCGACAAGGGAGCGAAAATGTCTTGCTTCTTCTGCCGACACATCGACGAACTCCGGTATATCAACACCATCACCAATGACAAGGCTCTGCCAAAATGGATGAATTTGACTGCAATACAACCCTTTCTTATCACGCATTGAATCATAAATCTGGCAAGCACATGGTATCCCATGGGTGATCTGTAGAGCACAACCGCAACGCTCATGCACCTCGTAACTCAACTCTCTCATTCTTTTCGTCTCATCGTAAAGAACAGACAGACAATGATGAGAAACTTTTCCATTAAGCCGCTGCAACGGCATGTTCCTGTACTTCTCACCCACTTTAGATCTACTAGCCTCCAAAGCGTTACGTATTCCAACGATCTGATTTCCAATCTAGCAATGCACTCGAGCCCATACCGTATCCAAAGAACCAGTCGATGATTCCATCCAACTCTTGACCGCCGAGTGATGACTCTCAACCCTACATGTAGAAACGTTACCATAGTGCATAACTTTGTTCGTCCAACACGTCACAAATTTCTCTTTATGGGGAAGCCAAGTAGTCTCAACGTAATCCACAACTTTTGGATACCGACCCCAACTTGTTTTCAATCTCTGCAAGGCTAACTCATAGTGCGGCTCAGATGCTGCATCCATGACTCGTTTCTATCTACCATTTTTGAACTTTGCACCCACTGTCTTATCCTTGAACAATCCAGTCACATAAGCTTCGACATCTTTATTAATGTGCCACCTACAAAGTAAATGCGTAGTGTGAGGAAACTCGGCTTTCAATGCTGCACAAAGTCCAAGCTCACGGTCAGTTAAGAACACTGATGGCTCCTGTTGGTATCCGATCAAATTCCTCAATCTCTGAAGCACCCATCGATAACTAGCTTGTGTCTCGTTTCTCATGAACACATATCCAACAAGGAAATTCTGATTGGTCGGTGTAACCCCAACTATCTCAAAGAATGGCATGTCGTATCTGTTTGTCTTGTACGTGGAGTCCATACCAATCACGTACGGATATGTGCGTAACAAGTTGCACGTGATCGGATGCACCATGAATGCATGTTGTAAAACACCGATGTCATCAGCCATAACCCAGTAAAGGTAGTGACTCTCTCTAGCCAAATGCAGTAATTGTTGAACCACTCCTCTTCCTTCGGAATCCTCCATTCTGATGCCACTTCTACAATTGTATATATATGCCTGATGTTTGGATGATCTTCAGGAAATTGCTCTATAATGGTTGCCATGATATTACGAGGGGCAACCTTTGACCTCGTCAAGTTACGCATAACCTGTTTCGCACCTGGACTAAGACCGTTGATTTGTCGATGACCTTTAGGATACACAATGAATGGATGATTGTGGGTGCCGGTTACATCATTTTTAGCACAGATCCTCCAACCATCAGTGCTTCTCTCGTAATATATCTTGATGTAGAAAGGACACCCAACGGACTTGGTTTTAGTGTCCTTGCGAATCACATTCTCCAAATCTCTTGGCCTTTTCTTCCGACCACGATCGCAAGACAAATATCGATACGGCCGACCATTGGTGGTTTTTTTGTACGATGATGAGACAAATATAAATCCAATTGGCCGGGCAATTTCTTTCGCCCATTCAACAGCAGCATCATAACTAGGAAACACTGTGTCGGTTTGAAAATGGCCACTATAATTCACACCATCACCACCGTTTTCTGATTCTGAATCCTATATAAAAACCACAAACAAACTACTTAAGAACCCATATAATAATAATAATAATAATAATAATAATAATAATAATAATAATAATAATAATAATAATAATAATAATAATAATAACAATAATAATAATAATAATAAATGACAAAAATACGATAATAATAAGTACAAACGCCAGAAATGATTGAATGTACCATGGAAGAAACGCCTGAAAATTTAGAATCTACCATGGGACATTCTAAAATTTCAGGCGTTTCTTCCATGGTTCGCCTGAAATTTTAAAATGTTTACGGTAGATTCTAAACTTTCAGGCGTTTCTTCCATGAACATTTAAATTTACAATTGTGAGAAACGCCTGATATTTTTGAATGTACCATGGATGAAACGCCTAAAAATTTAGAATCTACCAAGGACATACTAAAATTTCAGGCGTTCCTACCATGGTTCGCCTGAAAATTTAGAATGTCCTTGGTAGATTCCAAAATTTCAGGCGTTCCCATGAACATTTGAAAATACAATGTGAGGAACGCTTGATATTTTTGAATCTTCCACGGACATTCTAAATTTTCAGGCGTTCTTACCGGGGTAGATTCTAAATTCTTAGGCGTTTCTCTGGCAGTTACGAAATTGAAAAAAACGACAAAAATTCATCGTACTTGTTTCGGGGTTTTCTGATGTCCTGCGGGAGAGTTACAATTCCGAGACTGGAACCGGACGCCTGTACCTGCAAAACAACGGAGACTCCTTGTGGTGGGAGCTCCGCCTCCAACGATCGAGTTAGTACTTGATTAAGGAGTAATTAATGCGGAAATTAAAGTGATTGGGTCTCTCTAGGTGAGAGTGTTTAATGTAGGTAATCTGCTTTTTTAGCGTGATCAGCCTGTCCTCCCCCTTAATGAGGATTAAGGGAGGTATTTATAACCTCGGGAAACGTGCCAATCTAGGTTTAGGTTAACCTTGGGCTGATTGGGCTTCCCTCGGAAGTTGGGCCTAGGTGACCGGTTATCCCAGGTGTCATGGGAAGGACACGTGTCGTGTCGTAATTGGTCCAAGGTGGACGGATCATTGCTTGACACGTGGCAGGCTCCTATTGGCCCATGTGGCGGACACATGGCGGAACCTGATTGGTCCACTTGTCAGATGGTGATTGGTGGGAGCAAAATCCCCTAATCATTTTCCCCTCACAGGTGGCACGTGACTGGTCACGTGTTACCTGTGACAGGTGTCGCACTGTAACAGGCGACGGCCTGCTACAGGTGTCACTCGGCGAAAGGCCGAGAGATTCTCCCGCCCAAATTATGAATTCTGGAAGTGACCCTTCGCCTTCTCACTTTGTCTATATAAAGGAGTGTTGACTTCGGTCATTTTCACACTTGAGAACTTTGTGAGAACATTCGGACCCCTGAACTTGCTCTGACATTTTGGACCCTTTCTGCCTACCGCCTGCTCTGACAAGCCGGCTGCACAGGATTTTCAGAACTCCATCAACGTCACTCGTTCAGGTAACCGTCGGTTCTCTTACTCTTAATTTTCTCTACTTTATTCTTTTTTGAAATGGCACCACGGAAGCACACGACACGACCTAGGTTAGTGATCAGCCGGTCACCGGGGACGGCTGAATCTAGGACTAGGAGTGCCGCCTGCCCTTTTCTGGACCCATCTTTGCCCTTTATACAAATTCTGACTGTATCTGTGTCTATGCAGAGCATGATGGCCAGGACAAAAAAGACTGCCAGGATCTCAAACTCAGACGGCTCCTCCCACAGGGTGCCGATTAGTGAAACATCTGACCAGGCGCCAGATGTGGAGGTGAAACAAAGCGGCTTGAAAGCCGGCAGTTCTGAGGGAGGAGTCAAAGTGACCCCTTCCCATTTTACAGTTGACAATTCTTCATTCTCTCCTGCTCCTTTTAAAGGAGAGGAGGCGGGCCCCTCCGGGAGAGGGGAAAAGTCGTCCTCTTCGGACTCGTCAGAGGACGATTTCGAGTCTAGCTCTTCTGGCCATGCTTCTCTGGACACAGAAGAGAAAAACAGGCGCCTGCAAGAGGCGAGGCTTTCTCACGCAGTTGAGAAGGGGGACGATTGGGCGGAGCCATCCGCCTCTCACCGAGAGCAAAATACCCCCTACTACTGCACGGTACCTCGGGGTCGGATCACAGCCATGCAAGAGAAAGTGGAGAGCTTTATCGCAAACCAC